GCTGAGGGCAGGGCGGGTTTCGCCTTCCCCGTTTCCCCGCCGGGCACTGTCGCTTGGCGGTTTCCCTCCTCCGCGGGGCCAAAACCGAAATAAAAGTTGTGTGACGTCACGCGCCGCCATGTTGAGGCGGTGGCTGAGGGCAGGACGGGTTTCGCCTTCCCCGTTTCCCCGCCGGGCACTGTCGCTTGGCGGTTTCCCTCCTCCGCGGGGCCAAAACCGAAATAAAAGTTGTCTGAGGGCACAGACTATGTCGTGTCAGTGCGCGTGGGGAGGGAGGAGGGCGGGGAAGTGGTTCCCGGCGGGGAGAGTGCGGCTGAGGGGAGGCTGTGGGTGAGGAGATGATGGGGGGGCTGTGGGTGAGGAAATGGAGGTGGGTAATGGCTGAGGAGATGGGGATGGGGCTGAGGGGCCGAGGGGTGTTATGGCTGGAGATGGTGGGATGGGGGGCTGTGGGTGAGGCGATGGAGGTGGGTCATGGCTGAGGAGGTGGGGCTGTGGCCCAGGCGATGGTGGCAAGTGGGGCCGTGGTTGTGGTGTTTCCTTGTGGGGATGTGGCTCTGGGAAGGGGGGATGTCTCAGCGAAGGCCCAGCTTTTTGGGGTGCGTGGCTGAGGGGGATGTGGCCCATCTTGGGGAACGAAGGAGGGGACAGCCCCCAAAAAGCCCCTTCCTGGGCACACCTGAGGGCCCCGTGTCCCCGTCCCCGCTGTGGCATCACCAGGGCCTGGCAAGGACCCAATCCTGGTGTCCCTCTTTCTTCCCGGGAATGATGAGCCTCCACATGAGCTCAGAGCAGGGGTGAGTCAGGAATTTGTGCCCAATACCACATTTCTCTGGAATTTGCACAATCATCCCTCTGGGAGTCATCGTGATCCTGAGTCACCATCCTGCCGAGTCACCACATTAGTCACAGCCTGAGTTCTTCCCTGAGAACTCTTGAAAAGTGAGGCAGAGCAGCAGCAAAGGGGCTGGTTCTGTGAAAAGGGCAGGAATGTGGGAATAATTGGAATGAGATGATCTTTAATGTCCCTTCCAAACCATTCCAAGATTCCTGAAAGCTTCCTCTGTGATTCAGTGATGTTTTCCTGCCCACTCACCTCAAATTTAAGAGGCTACATTCCTTTCTTCTGCAATATGAATGTATTGAAATAGATATGAAAGTATAAAACTTAAAGATACTGAAGTTTCACCTAAACACGTGGAAAAAAAAATTTACTATATTTTGCGAGGAATTTTAGTTTACACATTAGAAACAAAAATTTTATTTGAAGAACACACCGATGTTGCTCCGAAAATTTAGCAGAGTTCGTATTTTTCGAGTGATTTTTACATCAAAACGTTTATTTTGGGGGGTTTTCAAATGCGCTTTTTGAGTCTGAAGTTGCGTTATAAGAGACTAAGTTCATCAAGCCCAAATTGCTGGGGAGATGGTGGAGATCCAATTAGTGGCTCTCTTGCCCGGCTGTTCCCTTTAATTCCCATTTTCCATGGATTTAGACTGTCTGCAGGTGTCGCCGTTGCACCACATTCCCGGCCTTCCTCGTCCATCCCGAACTAACTGCTGGGAATGAACTCGGTCAGGTTTTTAAGGCAAAATGGAGCGTCTTTCCAGCTGTAATTCCCTAATTACATCGAAACTTCTAATTTCGCTTAATGAATCGCGCCGAGAATGGCACTAATTTGTTTAATTGCCTAAAAAAAAAAGCGAGGACGAAGCCATTTGTGCAGAAAAGCACCGAACACTGATGTTGTCTGGCTGAAGGAGGGAACTGTAATGGATCCTGTGTCATTCCAGATGGTGAGTTTTGTCCTTTATTGACTCCATGGATCCCACGTGGTGCAACAATCGCAGCAGCTGCACATGGAAATGAATGGATGGCTCTTCCATATCCATTGGTTTTGTCACCTTCAATCACATTTTCATGGACTTTTGCTCTGGTTTTTTGCCTGGTCATGGTGGGATAACGCATCCAGGACCTGCTGTTCCTCCTGGGAATGAAAGACTGGGAAGGATCATCCACTGGATCTGAGCTTCCCAGGTTCAAGCAGTAAAATTTCCAGTCCAGAAGCATCTCCAGAACTTCTGCTCCAGGTGATATCACAGCCAAAGGCACAGGACGATTCCCAGTGGGAAAATCCCACAGCAAATTCTCAAATCCCCAGTAATAATAAGACCTGGGAAGAGGAAAATCTCGGGGCACTGACAGTTATCCAGGAGCAAACCATTCATTAAGGAAAAGCAGGAAGCACTTGAGAGGAGGACGGAAAAACGCTCTTAAAAAATCAGTTATTTCCAAACCTGTTTTTCCAGACTCCGGATCTGGGAATCTGTTTATCCCTGAGCAGGCTGTGCCCCCACATCCCAGCTGTTCTGCCATCACCAGGGACAGCCACCTGCAGATTTGGTGTCCGTATCCCTATGGATCTGTGGGGTCCATGGGAAGTCAGTGCTTCCCCCTCCTCACCTCCCTGTCCCACATCCAGGGGCCAACTCGGCTTTCCCAGTTGTCATAATATTTAGTCTCCAGCCTTTCACTTTGGCAACAGATGTTTTAAAGGACAACTTGTATTCCCCAAAGTGCTTTGGGAGCCCTGAGGGAGCTCCCAGGAAGCTTTTTCCCGGCGCACAGAAGCCGCTTGCTCCGGCTTCCAGCTTTGTTTTGGGGCTGGCTGGATCCTCTGGATTTCTCCAGCTGCCCCCTCGTTTACTTTGTGGTTTATTGAAATATCTGTTTCCTCTTTCTGGTCTCTCTCCTCAGTGCTCCGTGTGGGAGTCACGCCGACAGAAAACCGATGGAACAGAGAAACGCTGGCAGTAATTCCATGTAAAGCATTCCAAGATGTGAGCGAGGAGCTCTTGGGATGTGCTGGAACTCTTGGAACTCCAGGTGAGGCTCCAGACACAGGCCTGGGTGAGAAAACCACTCTTTAAAGTGTTAAAAGTTCTGTGTTTTTACAGCTCTGCTCAGCAGCTGGACACGCTTTGTATCCGTCACGATATTCCTGCCTGGAAAACGACGCTGCCTGAGCCAAGTATGGAAACACTGGGGTGTTTTTAATACCTGATTTCACTGTACACATGGTCTGATGCCACTTCCATGGAACATCCCCTGGCTGGTTAAAGGCTTTGATTCATTATTGTTCATTATCTGGCTTTTGTTGCTCAGCTCAGGCGCCCGAGTTCCCTCATAAAAACGTCTCTGACACTTTTCCAAGCGTGGCCGTTGCAGCACCTTTGGAATACATCTGTTTTAACTGGAATGCATTTCTTTTTCTAATCACACTTTATTTGCTTGTTACGCGGTGGGACTCCTCTTCCTCACACCAGCTGCCACAGGGGAGATGAATCCCACATTTTCCCCACTTCCATGCACAGCTCCCACCCAGTGTCTGCATCCAGCAGTCCCTGAACACAGGGAGACAATTCTGATGGCAAAAGACCTGGTCCATGGATGATGTTGCCCTGGGGTCTTGTTGTCTCCTTCCAAAAATTGGCCTCAGCCAGGGCAGGGTTGTGCCAACAGGATGGGGAGCTCCTTCTGGAGCAGCCAGAGGATCCAATGTTTCCATGCTTGGCCCTGGCTTTTTTTTTCTGTGGGAATGCTGCAGCTCCTTGAGCCATGGCTCTTGAGCTCCTGTTTCCAGCAGGGAACTCTACAAAGAGTTATGGAATCACAGAGTGGTTTGGGTTGGAAGGGACATC